TTTTTTCAACGTTTATTTATTTTTGGGACAGAGAGAGACAGAGCATGAACGGGGGAGGGGCAGAGAGATAGGGAGACACAGAATCGGAAACAGGCTCCAGGCTCCGAGCCATCAGCCCAGAGCCTGACGCGGGGCTCGAACTCACGGACCGCGAGATCGTGACCTGGCTGAAGTCGGACGCTTAACCGACTGCGCCACCCAGGCGCCCCAAAAACTACACAGTTTAAACAGAATAGCTTATTTCACAGAAATGGAAACTTCTGAACTCTATTTTTCTTATAGAATCTGAAGTCCACCTACAAGCTTATAGAACATCATGCCTTTACAGGAGAAAACCATTTATAACCATTAAAAGCCAGATCAAATACCACCTAATTTGTAAGAGCACTAATGATACGACAAGTGTCTTTTTGTCCACCCACTGTACCCTATTTCTGAATCCAAGACACTGTGATCCACCACCGATTTAAGAAGCATCTAAATTTCAGGAATGTAAACATGACTAAGGAACACACTAGGAAAACACAGGATGAAGAAATAACTAACAAGTAACTGGGAAGCAACAAGAACAAATGCTGATGATTTTAAAAAAGTATTTGTTTCACTTGTAGGTTTATACCCAAAAGAATTACAAGCAACTTCTCTAAGAGGTATGTGCCCATGCATGTTCAAAGCAGCACAATTCACTACAGACCAGGAGAGGAAGCAACCCCAACATCCACTGCCAGAGGAATGGATAAAGAAAACGAAGTATATGCATACAATGGAGTATTATTCAGCCTTAAAAGAAGGAAATCCTATCACATCAACATGGATGAGCTTGGAGAACATCATGCTAAGTAAATGAGCCAGTCACAAAAAGACAAATACTGTGATTCCACTTACACAGGTATCTAAAAGTAGTCAAGTTCATTGAAACAGAAAGTAGAATGGCAGTTATCAGGGGCTGGGAGAGGAGACTTGTTGCTTAATGGGTAAAGTTTCAGTTTTGCAAGATGAAAAAATTCTGCAGATCTGTTTCACAACAACATAAATACACCTAACACTACTAAAATGTACACTTAAAAGTGGTTATGATGATAAATTTTGTGTTTTTACAACTTTAAAATTATCAAAAACAAAAAAATAGAGTGATTCAAGAATGAAAACAGAAACAAAGAAAGCAAAAGGAAGGAAAGATTAAAAACACAAGTTAATGAAAAAATCAAAGAGCAGACGTGATCAACAAAATAAAAAGTTGATTCTTAGAGGAAAAAATAAACATTGACTCATCTCTGACCTATCACTCAAGAGATATAAAAATAAACACTTCAGGGGCGCCAGGGTAGCTCAGTCTGACTTTGGTTCAGGTCATGATCTCACTGCTAGTGAGTTCAAGCCCCACGTCGGGCTCTGTGCTGACAGCTCGTAGCTTGGAGCCTGGAGCCTGCTTTGGATTCTGTCTCCATCTCTCTGCCCTTCCCCCACTAGTGCTCTGTCTCCTCTCTCAAAAAATAAAAAAATTAAAAATAAATAATAAATAATAAAAATAAACATTTCATAAAAAAGAGAAATAACTAAGGTATGGATGATATATATTTTTTAACGTTTATTTATTTTGAGAGAGAAAGAGGCAGAGCATGAGTGTAAGGGAGGGGCAGAAAGGGAGACAGAGAGAATCCCAAGCAGGCTCCATGCTGTCAGCACAGAACCAGACTCAGGCTCCATCCACCTCACCAATCGTGAGATCATGACCTGAGCTGAAACCTAGAGTCAGATGCTTAACTGACTGAGCCACTCAAGGTGCCCCATGGATGACATTTTTAAACCAAGGTGAAATAGATTTTCCAGGAAAATTATCAAAACTGGCTTAAGAAGGGGAAGAAAATAGCAAATCAGTATTTGAAGAAGAAATTAAAAAGGTTATCAAAATGTTTTCCTCTACAATATCTACCCATGTGATTCGGAGTCTGCCCTTTTATTTTTTAATTTATTTTTTAATGTTTATTTATTTTTGAGAGAGAACTCACACGAGCATGAGCAGGGGAGGGGCAGAGAGAGAGAGGGAGACACAGAATTTGAAGCAGGATCCAGGCTCTGAGCTGTCAGCACAGAGCCTGACACGGGGCTCGAACTCATGAACCATGAGATCATGACCTGAGCTGAAGCTGGACGCCTGAGAGACCGAGCCACCCAGGTACCCCTGCTCTTTTAAGGAGCCAACAATCCCTATGCAATGCATCCCAGGGCATGGGAAAAAAGAAATTTCACAACTTACTCTGGATAACTAGGACATAAAAGCTAGACAATGCTGCCTGCACACAAAAGAGGACTATGGGCCAGCCGCGCTTATGAACAGAGACAGAAAATATGAAATACTAGAAAATCAAGCCCAGTAGTATACTAAAAATAATATTCTAGTTCTGGAAGTGAACAGTAATGGTAGTTGTACGACATTATGAACATACTTAATGCAAACAAATTGCACAAGTGGTAAATTTTTATATATATCATCACAGTAAAAATTAACACTAAAGAAAACCGTCAAATCATTATGTTATACAACTAAAACAAATATATCATTGTATGCCAAGTAACTTCGATTAAAAACAT